TGAATGTGAAGGAACCAGTATGTCTCCATTGAAAATAAAGTTGAATAATGCAACACAAAGAATTTATATGTATCAGGAAAATAAATTCTGCGTAAACCTAAGGTTCAAAATTGACCAGCATTATGTGGAAGTGTTATCAAAATTACCAAAATCTCAACACAATGCTGGCCAATTTTGAACCCTATGAAGGACTGACTGATTCTTGTACCAATTGCATGAGAAATAACATAAAACAATATGATGATTGATAACTAGATATATACATATACACCTATGTTCTTCAACTTTTTCATGTTAAAATGCCCAGCATTCAAAGCTTTAAACTAAAAATTAGATATTGAAGAGAAAATATTTCATTTGAGAGATAATGGATGTTTAAAAATTGACTATTCAAATGATACAAGGTCATTAATTAGAATATAGGTTTTTTAATCATAATATGGTCATTATTCAATACCTTAATTCAATATTTATACTGCAGTCAGAAGTTTCGATATTGTTAAATGCAGATAAAATTTGGTGTATATTATGTATTGTCAAGGCCAAGTTAGGTGCTTCCAACATTAACACAGATTCTTTTTTTGTTACATTGTTTATTATTATTATCAATAAAAATTCAATAGTGAGTGTGTAATTGATTGATTAGGATAAATATATAAAATAAAAAAATACAATTAATTCAATAATTCAATAGATAAATAAATAAATAAAGTTATGCTCTTTTTTCTGCAACTTGATCTTGACTAACAAATGTTCGACCTGTTTCGGCTCCAATAGTAGGTACCAAATAAGAAATATCATCCCATGGATGACGATATAACCCTTGTTTAAGTCTACGTTGATCAAGATAATGACCTAAAATAATTAAAGTATTAAAAATATGTTGCTGATACATATATATATTTATATTTGTACACAAGTCATAACTTACCAGTAAAACCAATACTTCTACCCAAAATAAAAAGTCCATTTAATGCACCAATTTTAATGTATTCCTCTGCCTCTTCTCTGCTAAATGCACCAGAATCTCTTAATAAATCCACAAAGCACACTGCAATTGCTCCATCTAAGTTAAGTATTAATGAATCTTTTTTAGTGGTTGTGATCTCTTCAACTGCCAATGCATAATCAAGCAATTTTGTAGAATGGAAATTTCTTTTTGCAAAATCTTGTACTATTACTACTCGAAGATCTGGATTATTTCTTGATTTAATCTTATGTCCAATACCAAGAATTAATTTGTTTTGTCTTCGCATTGAATTCACAAATTCTCTTGGTGTAAGCCCTTTATCATATGCATTAGTAAACATTTCTGCTGCTCCATCTAATGCTCCCCCAAATCTATCTCCAATTGTTAATAATCCTGCACAAAGACTTGATACAAGATCTTTACCAGCACGTGCAGTAACTATTGTATTATGGGCTCTGAAAGTAAAATTTATTGGATCAAACTTTGATATATCATATTTACATAAATAAATAAATGAGATCTAATAACATACCCAGAAACTGCTGGCCCATGATCTGCGGTTAACATCAAAATCATTTCAATAAATCGACATGCATATTCAGGCAATCTTCTTTTAAACCATAACAAACTAACCACTCCACCTATTCCAATATTTTCTTTAAACACATCAGATATTCCCATACCCGCATATAACAATTCTTGTCCACGATCATCACAAATTGTTGAGACAAAACTTGCAGGTTTACGCACCAATCCAAGTTCTTGTGCCCAAGAATAATCAATAGGTATTTTAGGTGTTTCTGGCTCTGGAGTAGGTACAATAGTACCATTTCCTACGAGATTTTGATAAGTTTCATTTAAAACCAATGGCAATTTTTCAAAAGTGTCTGGTACAATTGCACCAGCTTTTTTCAATGCTCTATTTTTTGCATCAGCTGTTTCAAGATCAGACTGGGCTAGTGCACCAGCATGCCCAAATTGTACTTCAGTTTTAAACATTTTTGCACATGTTCCAATACACCATGCAATTAATGGTTTCTTAATTCTACCATCACGTATAGCTTCACATACTCGATACTCTTCCACTCCGCCTACCTCTCCAAGCAAAACCAGTATCTTACATTGTGGGTCACTTTCAAACCGTAATAAATGGTCTATAAATGTTGACCCTGGATATCGATCTCCCCCAATTGCAATGCCTTCATAAACACCATTTGTTGTTCTAGATATAATATTGTTGAGTTCATTTGACATACCACCGGATTTTGATACATATGCAACTGATCCTGGTCGATATAATTTTGATGCAACTACATTATCCATCATGCCTCCAGTATTACCAATCTTGAAATTTCCTGCTTTGATGCCACCAACAGTTGCTGGACCAATTACAAGTACATTTCTTTTTTTTGCATTATGAAGAATCAATCTTGCATACCGTTCAGGAACTCCTTCTGCTATTATAGCTATTGTCTTGATTTGGTCAGAGTGTTTGAAAAATTCAAATGTTGATTCATAAACAGATCTTGAAGATGCAAAATTAACAACAGTATCTGCATCAGGGAATTTTGCTACTGCGTCTTCAAGGTTATTAAATACATTTAATAAGGTTTCCTTAGTACCCCAATAAAACTTTTGTAAATGATTTCCACCAAAGGGGTAAATCATTGCAGCAACAGAAGGTACTTGTCTTCCACAAATAAAATCAAAATCCAGCATGCCTTGAACTGCACGAGGTTGCATACCATACACAAAAGCACGAGTTTCATTTGTAAATGCAGAGTACCAAGATCGTTCTTTTGATTCAGGTTTTTCAAAGTATGTCATTCGTTCACGTGGGTTAGCAATTGGACTTATAGGTCGAGAATTTGATTTTTTTGATTCTTCAGTGATGGCTGTGGTGTCATCATCTGGTTTTAAAGTTGAAGGTTTTTTACCTTTAAGATCTGAATTTTTTGGGATATTTGTTCCAAGCATTTGATCTTGTAATGAATTGTTTGATGATGGCAAATTGGATTTATCTGAGAAATTATCAAGACCTGAACCATGACCTAACAATGCTAAAGGAACTATTTCAGTAATATGAGTTTCTGGTCCAAATACAGAAATATCTAATCCAATATCATCTCCTAATTGTCTCATAGATTTCAGTCCTTCTTGATAATTAGGTCCACCACGTCTTACATATATTTTAACTTTATGAACAGTCAATGGTTGTTTGTATTCTTTTAAGGCTCGAATAAGTCCTTTAAATGTCACAGCAACATTTGTAAAATTTGCAATACCACCACCAACAATTAAAATCTTTCCTTCAGGATGAATAGTGTGGCTTCGTGTCATTAAATCAAGAATAGTCTTGGCATACTCATATGTTTGAGTTTCTGTTGGAGCACCTGAATATTCTCCATAATTTGCAAGTTCATGAGCAAATCCTATCAACAATTTAAATGTGGAAAGGAAAATTAAGGTTTAATAATATAAAAATAAAAAATAATCTATATAATTTTAAAATTAATTAATCACCTAAAGCAGCAATTGCATCACTAAAAAAATAAATAATTAAATATAGTTGGTTATATGTGAATGTTTAATAATAAATTTTTTATCTATCCCAGTTACACACACACACATATATATTCATTCTTTTACCTGTAAATTACTGAAGCACCACCACCAGCAACCATTGCCCATATTCTTCCATGTTTATTTAGTATAGTTAATTTTAATGAAGCACCAGTTTTTGAATCTAATTCTTGTATGTATGCTTCTTCTTTTGTTAATTCACGACCAAATGGTGCAGGAAAATCCATTGGTGGTCCTTGATCAACATTTAACTTGGAATCTAAATGATCAATAAATCCCAAAACTTTAGGAGAACGTGCAATTGCCCATTTAGAACCGGCCTCAAATTCAGCTGTTTGATCTAATCTTGCAGCAAGATCAAGGTAATAGATTTTTGGTGCCTCATTGATTGAAGTAGGATCAAGTACTACCAATGGATTAATTTCAAGATATGTAAAATGTAGATCAACATAAACGGCATATAAATGACTAATGAAATTAACCAAGATATCTTTTTTAGTTTCTGGTACATTGACCAACAATTTATCTTTGATTTCTTGCAATGATGGTAAATTTTCATCCACAGGAATCAAAAGTTTTAAAGCCTTGGCATCTACATCACCCACATCAATGCCACCTTCATGGGTAAACAATATATAATCACCATCACGAACAGAATTGATGTTGATATAGTATTCAGTATTTGACGCATGTGGTACAAATGGTTCAATGAGAAAAGTTTTTAATAGTCCTGTTACGCTATCAACCTAATAAATTGAAAGAAATAATTTTATCAAATAATATTGATAATAATAAATTAATCAATTACGAATTTTATTTGTTGTATATTTACTGAAATCTCTTTTCCGGCTCTCTCACCGATCCATTCTTTTGCTTGTGACCATTCTGCATTCAATAATAACAAACCAGATTTACCACGTCTTTTAATTAGTTGATCTGGTTTAACTACCAATTTTTCTGTTAATAGCCATGGATGAGTTTGTTCAGCTATTTTAAAGATTTGCTGCAAGTGAGTATTAAAGGCAAAGATAGGATTTGTGGCTGTGTTGTTTTGAAGGATAGAAGCATCAAATGTTAAATTCGCAATTTTTGAAGCGGGTGGAACGAATTCAGAAGTAATTGAAGATTCATCAGTTTTTTTAAAAATAATAGGAGAGCGAAGTAACCAGTAAGCTAAAAGAAGTTTTCCATCATATTCTCTTATTGCTTTGGCTGACATTTTCCTTGTTTTTTATTTTGAGAGAGGATTGTATATTATTATTTTTTTAAGGAAAAAAAAAGTTTAAGGAATGTAGAAAATCCCCAAATCATTATTATTAACACATGGAATTTTTTACTGAACGATGAAATCTATAATAATAGAATCTACATTCTTATTACCGAAAAAAAAATCATGCAGATAAATAAATAATCGTGTTGGGGATTTTTGAGGATTGTGTTACATCTTTGGGAAAGATCATTTACATATGAATAACTATGATATCATATATGCAATAATTATTATGTATAAAAATATTTGATTACATGAAATGAAATTATTATGTGCTTGTATAAACATAATATTTATATTATTACATTTTGAAATATCAATGT